TGACGATGATGGTACATTAGGATAGTCGGGATATTCTGTATTGTTAATTTTTCATTAAGTTGTAACTCATAGCACTTGTGTCTTCCTCAGGTTACGGTCACGTACCGTTTCGGTCGCGAGGAGGATGAGGTCATGGGCCTTAACTTCAGTAAGGTGATGCAGCTCGGCACCCAGCAGGTGTACCCGAGCGCTGACTCCCGCGAGCCCACGGCCGTCCAGGAGCGCCTCGTGAAGAAGCTCGGGGCCAACGCCTACCCCTTCGCCGTGACGCTCCCCGACACCGCCCCCTGCTCCGTCCAGCTCCACTCGGGCGACGATGAGACGGTGAGGAAGACGATGCTAGGGCTTCTTTCAGCGTGCACGACGCGCTTCAGCTCAAGTAGTAGATTTGCAAATCTATTTCACATCCATGCCTTTTATCAGATCGTACTCACAGGTCCTTCATCTTCTACAGAGCAAACCACTCGGCGTCATCTACGAACTCTCCGTCTTCGTGGGCGACAACTCCAGCGAGAGGCCCCACAAGCGCAACTCCGTCACCCTCGCCGTCAGGAAGGTGCAGTACTCCCCCATCTCGAGTACCTCGCGCCAGCCCAGCACCCTCGTGTCCAAGGGCTTCGCTCTGTCCTCCGGAAAGGTCAACATGGAGGTGACGCTCGACAAGGACCTCTACTACCACGGAGATCAAGTGACCGCCACCCTCAACATCAACAACAGCAGCAAGAAGACAGTGAAGAGCATTAAGTGCTCCATCATCCAGCACGTCGAGGTCACCATGACCAACAGCCACTTTACTCGCGAGGTACGTTTAGCACGCGCTCCTCCTCGCTCGATTTCTCTTCGGAGCTGAATTACGGACAAAAGAAGTAAACAAAATGAATCTGTTCTAATAATCGGACAGAGCACGAGAAGAAGAATTGGTCTGCCACGATTTATGAAGAATGTTGTTTCTATTTATTCTCTGTAGGTGGCTTCCCTGGAATCGAAGGAGGGCTGCCCCATCACGCCAGGGACGAGTCTCCAGAAGACCTTTAACCTCACGCCTCTCGCCTCGTCCAACAGGAGCAAAGTCGGCATTGCTCTCGACGGCAAGCTAAAGGTATCGACTGCTAGCACTTTATACACACACACACACACACACACACACACACACACACACACACACACACACACACACACATATATATATATATATATATACACACACACACACACACACACATATATATATATACATATATATATATATATATATATATATATATATATATATATATATATATATATATATATATATACACACACACACACACACAAACACACACACACACATATATATACATATATATATATATATATATATATATATATATATATATATATATATAGAGAGAGAGAGAGAGAGAGAGAGAGAGAGAGAGAGAGAGAGAGAGAGAAAGAAAGAAAGAAAGAGAGAGAATGTGTATGTTTATATGCAGTGGAGGTAAGTATGCCCACACTTACACCTCCAAATGCGAAAACACATCAACCAATCCCTCAAAACGAAGAACAAAAGCTCTACCAACCCATTCCCATTCCCACTTTCCAATCTCCCTCAAGAAGCCTCACCACTGACCATTCCCATTCCCACCATTCCAGGATTCCGACGCCAACCTCGCCTCTTCCACCGTCGTCGCCACAGGGAAGAACGTCAATGATTCCTGTGGTATTATTGTGTCTTATTCCATGCGTGTGAAAGCTAACTGCGGCGCCATTGGGGGTGACCTGACCGCTGACCTGTGCTTCAAGCTGATGCACCCTGCCCCCGGTGAGTCCTCTATGTTGCTGGTAGTGTGTGAATGATGTTCATGTTGGGAGTTTGATGCCATGTTTGGTGTGTTGTGTAATGGTGATTTGGTTTGGTTGATTGTCATAAAGATTGTGGTAATAATGATGATGATTATGATAATGATAATGATAATAATAATAACAATATTGATAATAATAATAACAATAACAATAATGATAACAATAACAACAAAACAATAATAATAATAATAATAATAACAGCAACAACAGTAACAATGATATTGAGGATAACAATAATGACATATACGACAACGATGACAATAACAATAACAACAAATGAACACCAAAACATCATGCACATGTACATACATAACAACAACAACAGCTGCTCGAACAATCAAACAAATAAAAAAAATACAAGCAAATGGATAAATAAATTAAAAAAAACACCCGTATATGAACAAAATCACCAGGACCTAACCTTGAGCACCTTCTTCTTCGCCTTCCGCAGGTGGAGTAAGCAAGGCACGTCCCGACAGCGGCTACACCGGCGGCGAGGACCTGGAGTTCGAAGACTTCGCTCGCCTCCGCCGCGGCATGTCCGTCGACCAGCCCTAGATGGCGCTGATGAGGGATCAACTGCTTGTTTTGATGGTTTAATTTTTGTGTTTTGTTTTGGGGTTTGTCTGATCGAGGGGCGTTTTTTTTTTTT